ATCAATCCTACTTTGTATGTTGTCATTTACTTGTGGAAGCTAAAAATTAAAACAATTGAACTCATGGAGATATAAAGTGGAAGGTTACCAGAAACTGAGAAAGATAGTGGCTGGGGGGATGGGCAGGCAGGTAGGGATGGTTAATGGGCACAAAAAGTAGTTAGAAAGAACGAATAAAATCTAGTATTTAATAGCACAAGAGGGTGACTATCATCAATCATAATTTAATTGTACATTTCAAAGTAACTAAAAGAGTGTAATTGAATTGTTTGTAACCCAAAGGATAAAAATGCTTGAGGGGGATGGATACCCCATTTACCATTATGTGATTATTATGCATCGCATGCCTGTATCTAAGTACCTCATGTACTCAATAAATATATGCACCTACCACGTACATACCAAAGCTTAAAATAAATTCTAAAAAAGAAAAGAAAAGGCCAGGCACAGTGGCTCACATCTGTAATCCCAGCACTTTGGGAGGCCAAGGCAGGTGGATCAACTGAGGTCAGGAGTTCAAGACCAGCCTGGCCAACATGATGAAACCCCGTCTCTAATAAAAAATACAAAAAAAAAAAAAAAAATTAGCTGGGCCGTGGTAGTGGGCACTTGTAATCCCAGCTACTCAGGAGGCTGAGGCAGAAGAATTACTTGAACCCAGGAGGTGCAGGTTGCAGTGAGCCCAGATGGCGCCATTGCACTCTAGCCTGAGCAACAACAGCAAAACTCGGTCAAGAGAGAAGGAAAGAAGGAAGGAAGGAAGGAAGGAAGGAAGGAAGGAAGGAAGGAAGGAAGGAAGGAAGGAGAAACTACAAGGCAATAACTTGACCATAGATGCAAAAATTCTCAACAAAACACCAGCAAACTGAATCCAACAACACATTAAAAAGACAGTTCACCACAACCAAGTGGGTTTTATTCCAGGAATGCAAGAGTGATTCAGTATAAGTGAATCAAAAAGTTTGATACATTACACTAATAGAATAAAAGACAAAAACTATACAATCATTTCAATAGATGCAAAAAAAAGCATCTGATAAAATTTATCCTTGCTTCATGATAAAAATTCAACAAATTTAGGCATAGAAGGAGCATACTTCAACATAATAGAGGCCATATATCAGAAACTCCCAGTGAAAATCATACTGACATAGGAAAAACAGAAAGTCCTTCTTCTAAGAACAGAAAAAAGACAAGGATACTCACTTTCACCACACCTATTTAATGTAGTACTGGAAGTTTTGGCCAGAGAATCAGCAAGAGGAAGAAATAAAAGGCATTCGAATTGGAAAAGAAGAAGTTAAATTGTTTCTCATTGCAGATTACATGATCTTATATAGACAAAAACATAAAAACATTATCAAGACAACTCTTAGAAGTGATAAATGAATTCAGTAAGGTTGCAGAATACAAAATCAACATACAAAAATAAGTAGCACTTTTATGTGGTAATAATTGTCTGAAAAGAATTCAAGATAACAATCTTATTTATAATATCTACAAAATAAAAAAAAAACTCTTAGGAATTAATTTAACCAAGGATGTGAAAGATATCTACAATGAAGCCATGAAACGTTTATGAAAAAATTTGAAGACAGAAATAAATGGAAAGATAATCCTGCATTCACGCATTCAAATAATTAATATTGTTAAAATGTTCACACTACCCAAAACTATCTATGGATTTATTGAAATACCAATGACATTCTTCACAGAAATAGAAATAACAATCCTAAAATTTGTATGGAACTTACAAAAGACCTGGAATAGCCAAAGCAGTCTTGACCCAAAAGAACAAAGTTGGAGGCATCACACTACCTGACCTCAAAGTATACTATGAAGCTATAGTAACCAAAACAGCATGATACTGGCATAAAAACAGATGCAAAAACCAATGGAATAGAATACAGAGCCCAGAAATAAATCCACAGGTGATACGGTCACCTAATAATATTTTGACAAGGCTGCCAAGAACACACAATGGGGAAAGGTCAGTATTTTCAATAAATGGTATTGGGAAAACTGTGTATCTATATGCAGAAAAATGAACTTATAAACCCTTATTTCATACCATACAAAAAATCAAGTAAAAATAGTTTAAACGCTGAAACATAAGACCTAAAGCTGTAAAACTACTAGAAGGGAAAACATAAGAGAAAAACTATACAACACTGATGTAGGCAAAAGCTAAGGCAAGAAAAACAAAAATAGACAAAGGAGGTTACATCAAAATAAAAAGCTTCTGCTTAAAAGAAATAACAGAACCAAAAAATGACCTACAGAATCGGAGAAAATTTTTGCAAACTATGTATCTGATAAGGGATTAATATTCAAAATATATGAGGAACTCAAGCAACTCAATAGCAAAAATCAGCAACAACATCAAATAATTCATTTTAAAAGTGGGCAAAAAACCTGACTAGACATTTTTAAAAATATGACATGCAAATGACCAAAAAGCATATGAAAAAATCCTCAGCATCACTGATCATCAGGTAAATGCAAATCAAAACCACAATGAGATAGCACCTCATCCCAATCATGATCAAACAGACAAAAGATGGCAATAGTTGGTGAGAATGCTGAGAAAAGGGAAAGTTTATACACTGTCGGTGGTAATGCAAATTAGTACAGTCATTATGAAAAACAATATGGAGGTTCCTCAAAAAATTAAAAATATATCTAGTATATGTTTAAGTATACAGTAGGCATTCAGTAAATATTTGTGGAATAACTAAATGCCAATTAAATTTCTTGTGCGCTACATAAAATTCAACTCAAATATCTCTAATAACTCTGCAGGTATAAATATTTGATGAGCAGAGAATGATTTTTCTTCAAAATAGATATAGACAGTATTACGGTAAAGCTTACCACTGTAGCTATAATGACAATCCCTTTTACTACTTAATTATTCCTCAGGAAGCTTTGACAATACATGAACACAAAAGAGAAAAGAAAAGAAAAGATCTGCTTCCACATTTTCACTATTCTTTAGGGGATAGTAAGAACTGGCTTTTGATTGTGAAAATTCAAAATGATACCCTCTTTTAAACAAACACTATCAAAACATCACAAGAGAGACAGAGCTCCAAGTCCCAACAGGCTATGATGCAAGTAAATAGACATATATAATACACTCACTTGAGCTTGCATTTTGACCATTAATATATGCTTTGAAGGTGGGGAAAATCTTTTAGGGTTTACTTTTTGCAACCCATGAGAGATTACAAACTGGATCATGCAATTCCTTGGAAGTTCTTCACGTGTCTTTGGCTCTGTGGAATAATATTTTGTCTCCTGTCCCTGACCTTCTCAGCATTCATTCAAAGAGTGAGTGGGAAGTATATAACACGTGAGTCACCCAGTTTTTTTTTTTCAAAAATAATAGAAAATGTTTTCTTCTTGTCTTTGAGAAAACTAAAAATATATCTTAGAGTGAAATGCTGGCAAAGAATGAAGCTGAAAAATACAAGTTCTTCTTCTTGTTTCCCTGAATTCTGGAGGATATTTTTCAATTATGGTTCACATCCCGTTAAAATATGAATAGCCACATATACAAAAAGAATAGGATTTCAAATGAAGATGTATATTAACTGATGAATTGATGGAGAAGGGTATATTTTGGTAATTTTTGTTACTTGGTGAGTAGAAGAAATATGGCATATTTCTCTTTCCAGCAATATTTTCTTTCTCAAGCCCAAATACTGATTTTCAGTTCCATTACATTAATAAGACTTGGTATTATACAAATTACTTATTATTTAAGAAACAAAAATCTTCAGCTTGTATGACTTTTTCTTATTTTTGTTGTTATTTGGGCTAGAAGTTAACCAGAGAGTGATCAGGGGAAACGTTTCATGTTTCAGGTTTGCCTAGATAGGAAAGGCCTCAGAGAACCATCACAGTAAGATGCAAAATAGCACCAAAGGTCAAAGAAAGAAAAAGGAACATGTGGAAGAAAGCAGTGAATAAAAAACATGGAACATTCATAATATAAACCTTATCTGCCTTTCTTATTTTCCTGCAGCTGACTTGATCATGGTTAACAAATAACAAGCACATTGAACTTGGCTTCACTCAGACCAGCTGCTCTCCCTAAGGTCAATGTCATAATGGGCATATGAAGTTCATATATTCACCTGGAAGCATATAAAAATATTTAGAGCAATTTAAGGGCCAAAGTGTGGCACACTTCTTCACAGCATATAGTGTATCCAGCTGCCTAAAAAGAAAAGAATGTATTTTGTATGCTAAACATTGGTAGAGATACATGAAACAGCATAAAAGACCATATATCTTCTAATGACAGAGTTCTTTCTTATTACCACTTTAAAACACTACAAGTAACCTGGAGTAGCTGAAATTGAAAGTAAATATTAATTTGTGCCCTGGCATGGCACTATATTGAGAAAGAGTATTTTTAAATATCTTGATTTTGTATTTCATTTTTATATCACTAATAAATCATAATGAATCAGGTATTCATAGTCCTGTTGAAAGAACTTCATACCCAGATAAATATAGTATCAATAATGCAGGTAGACAGAAGAAAGGGTAGACTCATTGTATATAGGTAATTTATTGGAATCACAAAAATTTGCATTCCTGGTTTCAAGTCTAGTGGTCTTAGCAAGAAAAAAAAACAAAACTCTCCACAATTCATATTTTCCCTGCTTTCTATTGTTGGGATTTATTAAAATAAATATGTGTAAGGGTTGAGTCATGAAAGTCACACTTTTGCTGTTGAAACAAAAGTCCAATTGTTTACTACTTTATAATATACATGATAAAGAATTTGGGTTGTTTCCAAGAAGAACCAGCGTGTTCCATTTCATGTTTCAATTACCTCTGCCATCTCCATGTCTTCCAGACTAATGAATGTGTCCAGCATAGAAACTATCAACTTTGTTAGCTCCTTTATCCTCATGGGCTTTCCCTCAAGCCCAGAAATGCAGCTCCTCTACTTCAGTCTCTTCTCAGTAGCCTATACTCTCACCCTGATGGGAAATGCAGCCATTGTCTGTGCTGTGTGGTGGGACCGGCACCTTCACACTCCCATGTATATCCTCCTGGGAAATTTCTCTCTCCTGGAAATATGTTATGTTACTACAACTGTTCCTAAAATGCTGGCCAACTTCCTCTCCACAAGCAAGTCCATCTCATTCATGAGTTGTTTTGCACAGTTCTACTTCTTCTTCTCTTTTGGGTATGACGAAGGCTTCTTCCTTTGCATCATGGCCTTTGACAGGTATCTTGCCATCTGCCGCCCTCTACATTATCCACGCATCATGACTAAACAAGTATGCACTGGCCTTATTATCTTTGCCTGGTCATGTGGGTTTGTAATCTTCCTGACTCCAGTTATTCTCATTTCACAGCTATCATACTGTGGCCCAAATATTATCAACCATTTTGTTTGTGATCCTGTCCCATTGATGATGTTGTCCTGTTCTGAAGACATCATCACCCAGCTCATTTACTCCACATTCAATTCTGTCTTCATGATTGGCACCTTTCTCTTTATCCTTTGTTCCTATGTTCTGGTGATTCTGGCTGTAATACGGATGCCCTCAGAGGCTGGCAAACAAAAGGCTTTCTCCACTTGTGCTTCTCATTTGGCGGTTGTCACCTTGTTTTATGGCTCTATCGTGGTGATGTATGTTAGTCCTGGATCAGGACACACAGTAAAAATGCAAAAAATCATTACCTTATTCTATTCTGTGATAACACCTCTCTGCAATCCTCTAATATATAGTCTCAGGAACAAAGAGATGAAAGATTCTCTGAGGAAAATCTTCAGGACTGGAAAGGTGTTAATAAAATATAAATAAGAGATCATTTCCATTTATCAAATGGAACTTAATTAGACATGAATATTTGTCTAGAAAATCATTGTTTTATTTAAGAACTGCTATAATAATGACCCATTAACATCTTAAACACCACTAACCATAATTTGCAATACTGTGGTCTTAAGAAGAAAGCTTCAACGGTGAATTAGATTTTGTGTTGAAGTGAATAAAAAGCATGTAAAATTATGTGTCTAAGCTAATCAGAACCTCTATATGTAATTCAACTTTTTAAAAAGAATACAGATGTCCATTTTGTATTACTAAGCTAAAGCAATTGATAAACATATGTAACAGATATCATAGACTGCTCCCACAATTAACACTGTAATTCAATAATTGTCCACCAGGACATACTGGCTGAAAAAGAGTCAAGTTTTTAGACGTTCATCTTGTCAAAATGTAGCAAGTGGGCTTTACATTATGGAAATAAATTAATAGCCTTAGTTTGATATTCAGTGTTCTTTCAGAGAGTACACAAAACAAGAATTAGGAATTTAAAGCAGTTTAGTTACCTGGAATATAGTGCAGGTAAGACCTAAACAAAAAGGTGAGCACTACTCAGGCTATAGCTTGCTTTGCCGTAAACCCAGTTTAAACACAGGTTTTGATATCATAATTAATTTAGTATTAATACTGTGTGACTTGTGTACTGCTAGGCAGTACTAAAATAAAATTCTTAAAATCCATTTTATAAATATTTGACTAACACATTGCTTTGATTTTGATCTTTGCTTTGTTCTATGGCCATTTTTTCCAAATACAACTCTCAAAAACGTGATGAAAAGGAATCACAATATGAAATGTAATTTACAGAATTTTAATTTGTAAGCCCTCATAGTTATTTGCTCTGCAAAATGAGGTGCAGCTGCAATTAGTTTTTGTGTCATAAAGAACCTGTGTTGAGAATATTTTCTGGGTTTGAAAGGCAGGATTTATGTGAGTCCTGGGGAAATGGGTGGTTGTTTTATTATACTTCACATGTGAAATGTAAATTAAATAGCTAAATACTTGCCTGAAAAACTCTTTTATATAGGAAGAAAATAGAAACAATTTAGAACTTCATTCAAACTGACTTAAATGGTGGCCTCTCTTTAAAGTGCTGACAAATTTAACACTGAGTTTCACCTTTCCATGCCAGTTTTGTTTCTCTTTCTTAATTATATGAGAAAAAAAGGGATAGAAATTCTTAATAAAATATAATGTCAATTGTTATGAGCATGCACCGTGCACATATTTGCAATTATCTTCAAGTTAATCATTAACTAATCTTATCTTACCGATATTAAATTCTATCTCATATTGAGCTTGCTAGCACCTGATAGAAAAAATGGCAAACTATTTGATACAGTAAAAAGCATTTCCATAAGATACAAACATGCCTTCATTGTGACAGTATCTCTTCCTCAGTTTGTCCTCTGACTGGGCCAGGTCCCTGATGGGCACAGAGTTGAGAAACAAACATCTGCATACTTTGTGCTTATTCTCATAGGCCCATACATATGCCTCCACCTCAAATTTCCTTAAATCTGATTTTTCTGTATTTTGGGGGAGCTTTTCTTAGTGAAGTTTTTTTACAACAATCTTTATTCTACACATATCCTTATCTTGCATAGCAAGCTATTTCTCCCAACATTCAAAGTGGACAACTAAGTATATTGCTCCCAGATCATCGGTTTATGAGGATTTCCTCCATCACTACATTCTATGGCTACCCTTGAGAGGTGTTAAACTGCAGCATGCAGTCATACCTATGGCTTCATGGTGGGAAATAAATAGATTTCATACAACCAACTAATAAAGGAGGAAAGAGCCTCAGGCTTCGCTCACAAATGGATTGTCTGAATATACACTTGGACAAGGAAAATATTGACTAATGCTGCAGCTTAACGCCTCTCAAGGGTAATCATAGAATGTAGTGATGGAGGAAATCCTCACAAACCCATGATTTGGGAGCAATATACTTAGTTGTCCACTTTGAATGTTAGGAGAAATAGCTTGCTAGGCAAGTAGAATAATGATTGTTGTAAAAAAGCTTCACTAAGCAAAGCCCCCCAAAAATACAGAAAAATCAGATTTAAGGAAACTTGAGGTGGAGGCCTATGTATGGGCCTATGAGAATAAGCACAAAGTATGCAGATCTTTGTTTCTCAACTCTGTGCCATTAGAAAGTATCCTCCAGAGTGGAGGCACTCAATAGCTAGGTGAAAAGAATGAGTCATCTAAAAATGTCAGTCAACTCTGATTTCATTCACCTCAGTGCTTATAAAAGGGAATATAAAGAAAGTTTTATACATGGAAAATATGCACGAGCCAGAAAATACGGGCATTCTCTTACCAAGGTTGGTGACAAGTCACTGAGCCACTGATGAGCCACTGAAGATGCAGCCTTGATGAGAAACCAACACTAAGCCCTCAATATGGCATCAATCTTTGAGAAAACCAGCAAGCAATGGATGGCAAATTGATTACATCAAATTTCTTTTACTTTGGGGGGTGCAAAGTGACATGAAAGAGCATAGTCAACCTCTACTTCTTCATTTCTTTTTTTTTTTTTTGGACACGGAGTCTCACTCTGTTGCCCAGACTGGAGTGCAGTGGCACAATCTCGGCTCACTGCAAGCTCTGCCTCCCGGGTTCACGCCATTCTCCTGCCTCAGCCACCCGAGTAGCTTGGACTACAGGCACCCACCACCACGCCTGGCTAATTTTTTTTTGTATTTTTAGTAGAGACGGGGTTTCACCATGTTAGCCAGGATGGTCTCGATCTCCTGACCTTGTGATCTTCCCGCCTCGGCCTCCCAAAGTGCTGGGATTACAGGCGTGAGCCACCGCGCCCGGCCCTACTTTTTCATTTCTTATTCACTCCCCAACCCCCTATGATCTTGCTTTCTATCTCCTCTGTTTGACTAAAACTTCTTTTCATCATGTTTCTGTAGAGGATTAACAATAATCATCATATGGATATTTTATCTTAGGTATAAGAAAGTATAGTAACTCAAATAGGTTTTTCAATCTACCATTGTTTTCATTAGTCAACATTATCTTAGCCAGTGAAGATGTGAACTCTACATTTTGTAATTCTGTGTTGTTTGGGTTTGAAAACCTTTGCTATAACCTGGGAGTAAGTTGTCTTGGATCAGTTGCAGCCTCTTATGAACAAGAGTAAAGATGAAAAAGTTGAAAAATGTGTATTACCCTATAATTGCAACCCGAAATCTAGCTTATTTTTCATGTTTCACATGAAATAGGCGTTTAACCTAGTAGTTCTCAACTTTAATATCCATATCAATCACCTATGGATCTTTTCAAAATGCAGATTCTCTGTGACATCAGGAAGATTGAAGAATAGGAGGTCCCAGTTTTCCCTCCCCTTCATAGAATGTTCAATTAGCAACTGTACACAGACAAAAACTCCTACATGAACACTTCAAAACTCATGATTAAGCCTGAGAAACCTGTGTGAACTAAAGAACCAAACAAAATGCCACATGAGAAGGGTAAAAAGAATAGTCTCACTTTGACCACATCACCTCTCCCTCTCTCCCAAGTCAGCACACCACTTAGAATTTTTCTAGGCCCACAGTTTCTACAGTAGGAAAAGAGAACTAGAGGTGGACATTCACGTTCCCTGCATTCCAAGATACTTCCCAGGAAGCCTACTCTGGTCTCACCTTGGAAGGAGCATGGGGTAATAAAATGGCTAGACTACTATGGTCAGGTAGAAACAGAGCAGGAAGGCAAAGCTCATAGTGACAAACATGCAGATCTTGGTGGTAGCTCTATGTAACGGCCATCAGTGGTATGTGATTAGGGGTATTAGCCAACAGTGTAACAAACCAACAAAGTCAAGCTGGTTGCCCCTGGAAATAGGAAGTTCTACCTGGCTTGAATCCCTAAACAATCAGCCTCCATGCCAGCCCCAGATCCCATCACAAATCCCAGGGAGGGGAGATGACCACAGCACATTTTGATAAAGTACAAGGGCTAGACCTGCCTCACTCAGAAGCCCAGACAGTAGTTTGGCTTAGTCTCAAAACCCACAACAGGGACCCAGACAGGCAGGGAGATGCATATCACAGCCCATTTTTAGCACAGTGTAGGGTCTAGAACTGCCTTACCTGGGGACTCGAACAGTGGTTCAACTCAGCCTCAAAATCATCCCCAAAGCCCACTCACAGAGAGAGATACCTGCCACAGTGCATTTTGGCAAAGTGAAAGGGCTATATATACCCCAACAAGGAATCTAAATGGTGGTTTGGCTCAATCTCAAAGCCCACCCCAATGTCCCACCCAGGCAGGAAGGCAAACATCAAATGTGCATTCCCACCAAGTATAGTAGTTGTACTCTCCATCTTGAGCAGTGTCTCCACCTAATTTTGTGAGTAAGCCTGCAACCCCAAACAACTGCAGAACTCAAATAGTGGTATCATTTAGCCAGGAAATACATCCTGTGGCCTGGCCCAGTCAGAGGCAATCACCATCCAAGCAAGCAATTTTGTCTGCTTGCAGAGCTCATTTAGTGGTCTTACCAAAAATCAGAGCCCAGCCAGTAGTCCCAGCTGAACTCAAAGCAAAGACAAAAGCTGAGCCATCAGGAGAACCTGAAAGCAGAAAGCAAGCTCTACTTTCCCAGGGTTAGTACCAGCTGACCAATCTAGAATCAAAGTCTAGACTAAATACTGAAAGTCTATCCCTGCCAACTAATACCTCCTCAAATGAACAGACGCCAATGCAAGAACACAAGGAATGTGAAGAATTGGGGAATGATGACACCTCCAAAATAAACTAATAAAACTCTAACAATGAACCCTAAAGAAATGGAGATTTGCAAAATGACTGACAAAGAATTCAGAAAAGTCCTCTTTAAAAATGTAGTGAACTACAAGATTATAACAATAGATAATTAAATAAAATTTGGAAGATAATACACAAACCATATAAGCTTTTTGACAAAGAAATAGAAATAATAGAAATATAGA